AAAATTCAAAAATGAACCGCAAGGAGGAGTGTCTTGTCATCACGCGTGACCTGGCGCCATACCTCGGGCTATTTTTTTTTTCTGACATGGACCCAGTTATCGACCATGTATTACTCTGTGCGGCGGCTATCCACCAACTAACTTAAATACTTACGACAAATAAACGGTAGGTGTTTGAATGAAGCTGTTTCTTATGCGAACACAAATCGATTTATCAAGTTTTATCTGCTAGGGTTATGAAAGTGTTTGGCTGAGTAGATCGCATCTCAATTTGACCTTTCCAGGCTCAGAAGAAGGCGAAACCGCCGAAACGTCAGCAATTGTGTTCTAATAAATTCTATATTAACAACCTCGTGTCTGCTTATTGATGAAAAACTAGAATTTTAATTTTCTATTCGAATTATTCCGTCTAGACTTGACAGGTAACTTCATCTCTTGTTCACTGTCATTTCTAAAAACCACGTGGTACTGACAGATGTGAAAACTGGCCTTGCACATCTTTCAGCGGTTTCTTCCTATTCCGGTCCTAGCACGGTATTCCGTCAAATTTAGGCGTAAACTTTGTTGTAAGCATGATATAACAAAAATTTATCTGGTTAATGAAAATTTTCGGCACCTGCTATATGGGTCCTTTATTTTCTCGAGTATTCCCATTTCCTCCTCGGTCATCAAACCTGAAACGGAATATTTGAATACACTCACCACGTCTTACTAAGGACGGATGTAGCACAGTGGTTAGTGGTGCCTTGCAATGCACATGGATTTGATCTTCAGACCCAGGCTCACCAGGCCTTCCATCCTTCCGGGCTCGGCAAATCGGTACCAGACGTCTGGGAGGATAGCAGTACTGACTCTATACATAGGTAGGCCACCACAAGTCATTGTACAGGCCAGATATGCATTCAGTTCCCTCTGGTGATGAGACAAGTGTGTGAGGCATTCCTCGGTATTGATCAACCTCGAGGGCTTTATCCGTTATCCCTTTATGTTTTTTTCACGTGTTGATCTTTGCAACCAACATCGGATTAGGTGCTATTATAGGCGAAATATCTCCGCCCCTTTTTTTCTTTGCAAGTCGTTGCCATTTGAATTTGCTAAACAGATAAACTAAATGAGTGTTTGCTGGTTAAGCCATTGTTTCTCCCAGGAATCCCAAGGTCAGCCTTGCCAAAGTCTGCCCTAGGTCTTCACCACCACAGGCAGTCGCAGCCCTTGTGGATCACAGAGAGATTTGCCACCATGCGACTGCGACACCAGAACGTTTGTGGATCCTGGTATTGGTTTATTCTTATCTAGGCTTCCTGATGGAAAAGCCGGACTCGTTCTCAGCTTAGGAAACCCTGCCAAAGGAAGGAATCCACCCACCGAACATCGCAGCCCGACACCCAGGAACACCACCCAGCCACGATGAGGCGGTAAACCGTTGGATGGAATGAACCAAATTGGTGCTTAAAATTAGAGACACACAATGCATTGAGGTAGTGAGGTGTGCCCGACTAGATATTTAGAAGGCTTGGATTTTGCGTCATCGTGTTCACCTCGTCTAAAGTTACTTGGCTATCGCCGGAGTGTGGTGGTGAAGAGCTCAACACGAGACACTGACGACCACGTGACTCGGAATAGGGTCACGCCTATTTAGCTGTTCGCAGAGGTTTTTGTATCTCACTTTTTGCATTTCATCGATAAATTGTTAAATATAAATGCACTATCTGGAGTGAAAAGCTGTACTCTATACTTAATGATTTCCTTGAAACACCTTTTGGACCTTTTTCCTTTCTTTTATTCATTTTTTTTCGGCTTTCGCGAAATCAACGTTAATCTGTTACACAATAGTGCTCCACCGAAAAAAAATGGTTACGTCTCCTTTAATTAAATTGGGCCTGCCATTTGGTGCCACACTGGTACCGCTGTGCAACTGCATCGTTTTGCTGTAGTTCAGAAACTAAAGCGATTAATCGTGCAATCATTCTTTCACCGCATTATTTTGAGACTTTACTCGAGAACGATCCACTGAGATTGTTGAACGATTCACAAAGCGATACTGGCGCTCAGATGCGCCACATGTTTTACTTGCCCACTTAAAAATTTCTACCTTTTTTCCATATATTACCCGTGATTCTTCCTTCATCATCCCTAGGCGTGAAGTATCGCACCTACTGATAATATGATCTGGCTGCACATTGTTTATGGAGAGCCACCGAAGGATTTCGGGACAAGCACTCAAATCCTTTCAATAATAGAACGATGCTACTAGGTTGAGCGGATAGTCAAATGGGCATAGAACGAGGCATGGAAGACAGCAGAGCACTTTCAAAGTGGTTCCCCTCTTTTCCGAGCTGGTATAACAGTTAGTTGTAAATGACCTAAGGGATTTTATTGCAAAATATCGGACGAGGAGAAGAAAGTCAGAAATCAGAAAGTGGCTAGCAAAATGCTTTCAGTAACGAAACATATAGGGCAGACCGGATGCGGCAAGTGTGTCCATTGTTGGAAATCGCTTGCGTACTTGCATGGAAATGTCGCGAAGCACCAGTGCTTGACAAAGAACCATGTACCTGAAGAGTATTGTACTTGTGGTTGCGCATTTTTCCTGAAAGCGCAAAAACTGAGAAGAAGACGATCCTTAAGCGACTAGGCAAACCCGGCGGGAAAACTCTTATGCATAGTGTATTCCAGTCAGATTACACGATTTTTCGTAGCAAAAAAATCAAAAGTTTTAAATCCAGGTTTTCAAGTTGCAAAGAAGCTTTACATATCTCTTAGCTCAGTTTAAAGCGTTTTGTTTTTTCACCCGGAAAGGCACTGGAGTTACTGCTGCCATTTTTAACAACGAACGCTAAATTTTAGTGCACAGTTGCTCTTTAGACAAGCAAGAGTTCAGGCCTACCTCACAAGATTTCGTCGCAGAATCCTTGTTGATTCACTGCCTCCACGAATGTAGGACGCGAAGAGAATGGATGCACTGAAACACATATGCGAATTTAAGCTCTGCTCTCCCTCACCCTATGGTACAAGTCCATCACAGTTAAATAAGATTTATCCTAACTGGTCGACACAGAATTGCAGATTACTCGATGGAAAGTTTTCGAATGACCAGACATTAGAAGTGAATTGGTTCGATGTCGTTTGGCTACAAGCTAATGCCAAAAAACTCTGCTGATTGTATGCGAAACGTACTCATCGATCCAGCCGATGCCATTCAGAATTGAACCCCACCGTCCGACGACGAACGAGACGAAAAATCCCAGCATAAATGTGAGCGGAATATTCGAGTCCAACTTCGAGTCTAAGTACTTGACCAAGTGCTCGAACCAACTGAAATATTCATTAGAAGAATGAATAAGAGCCCAAGAAACTTCAATTCAATTCTCGACCGATCGGTGAGCACGAAAATAAGAAACAATGAGCTATTATAATATCATTCTTTCTCATCGGATTCACTTAGTGATTTCCCTTCTTGACAAAATGTAATGAAGGATAATTTAAATGAAAAAAAGATCCGGGTAACAGCGATGAGAACGACGAACAGTTGTGCAGGCACAGAACGAAGTACTTAGACAGCAGCAAGAAATCATTTTCAACGAGATATTCACGGATCGAGGTGGAAAAGTTGCGGGTTCGACGTCTTCCTGAAGGCCACGCCACTAGCTGATGCAGCAGTCAGCTGATGACAGCTGAGTCATCTTCTTCAAAATAGACACAACTAAGACGAACATCAAGACTGCAGAAGTTTTCAAGAATTTTTCTTTCAAGAATTCTTCCAAGAACTTCTTTGAATTTAAGAATTCAGAAGTAAATTTCTCCGGCCAAAGCTAAATTTTTATTTGACTGCCAAGCCTATTGAAAGATGTATTCTTTCTTTGATGAGCTTACACGAGGTTGATAATGATAATGATCTCTCTCAAACACTGAAGCTAGTGTTAGGTTGCGAAGGAGCTAGAATTCCTAGAAGATTCAATTCGACCAGAATTCGACGGCACTCATATAGAAGACGAAAAATCTTTACCTATTGAAAGAAATTTTCCTGATGCCAACTTCTCCACCTTCGAGGAATGAGAAGCTTCGTAGACCTAATGCGGGATCGGTCCATCGTCTGTGTAGGTTGTACGGATTTTGTAACGTGAGAACGAACCTGATCTAGAAGAGGAAGAAGCAACCTTAGTCGCATTTTCTCTAATGTTTTGTGGTGCAGCATACGGTTAGGCCGAATAGATGTCCCAGATTACTGCAACAATGGTTGAAAAAAGCTCGTGAATTTTTTGGGAGCTTAACAGACCAGAAGAAGCTTTGCATGCACGTCAGGACGTAATACTGTAAGCAGCAACCCTCCTAAGTGGAAAGGGTGGCTTCCACATTTATAATTCATTCAAATAATTGGTGGTTCAGAAGACGACTTCGTAATTTTTGGAGTATCAATTTTTCGATTGACAGCACCAGAGCCATACATTCTTATTCGAGTGCTTGGCTCACAAAGACTTTCAGAACGGGATTTTCCTTTTTTTTCCACACGATAACTGTTATTACGACATTTCCGGAAAGCACGAAATGAAACACATAAAGCTATAAGGTGCCCACTGCAAAAGCCATCAAAGCCAACCGTAGTGTTTTAACCTTCTATGAGAACAGATTCGTTCAGCATCTTATGGACAGCACGCGACTAGAAACCTTGAACGGGTATTCGCCTCCTTTGTTGCTTTTATGAGCTTCGAGAGGAACTGTGAGAGAAATAATTTCCTCATTCCATTCAACTGTAGACGGATTTGTTCCAGAAATGAATTAGGAAAGGTCATTTATAACTTCTACTCCTATTCATTTTAGACCACATCAGTAGGACAAAAAAACCGCATAGGTTGAAATGGAAAGAAATCGAACCCATTAGGAACTGAACATTTGTAATGCCCTACGCACATACTCGGTACCCTCTTGTGCGCTCTTATCTTCCAAAAAAAAAGAAGTTATCCACTTAGTGAAAGACATGGATGCCGCTCATCGAGACGTTGGAAGACGAAGGTTTCAAGCTTAACAAGTTAAACACGTTTATTTGAGTTGAACAACAGGTATACTATAAGTACGTCATCTTCGTACGAAGCATGTGTTTTAATCTATTAAATGATGGGTTATTCTCTATAGTTTTCCCAATATCTATGATCGTAGAAGATGTGCTGATAAACGTAAGAGATCTCACTTTTGTTGGTCAGGACTGAGCACATAGCGATACACACAGCTGATGAGCAGAAAAGCTGCCGTCCAGATCAACAACTGTGCGCATACCGCCTGAAATGTTCATCGTCAGTCGAATCTGAAAACGCATCCAGCATCCACAGTAACGTACTGGTCATAAGTCTAAACTGGCCACTGGAAACAATGTGGAATCATGCCACTGTACTTGTAAAAAAAGCCTTACCATTAATCTGTCTGAACATTCTGCGAAAAATCTAAACAAAAAAGCTATTTTGTTAATTTAAACAAAAAGACTATTTTATCAAAAACTGGGACTCGTATGACGGAAATATTCTTCAAAAATATGAGAATATCATAAAGTATAGGTTCCAGCGCACCTTCCACACACTTCCTCTCCAACGGAAGAGCAACTTCAGAAAACTTTGGATGTTAGTCTGCGAGACGTCGAGTGTATAGGAGATGGTCATGGCGTCACACAGGTCGTGGATGAAGCATATTGTCCGACATCACTGAAATCCTCAAGAATTTGTGATAGGCGGGCTAAATAGAACGGGAAAGAGAAGAGATGAAGTGAGTGGTCTGGTGGTCCGAAAGGCAACGTTTGATGGAATTAATGAAATCAGAAAGAAAAACACACACAAAAGTACAAAAAACGATGTAATGAACATACACAGGCAACACGATCTGAAGAAATTGGCGACGTTGGCAACTCTCTCTTACCTACCAACTTAATAGACCGACATTTCAAAAACCGACTTTCTCTTATTCTCAGCGTGACTGACCAATGTGTGTTCTTTCATTGATAAGCTAATACGAGATCGGTTTAGGTTTATTCGGCTAACGCTTCAACGTCTTCGCCTTCCTCAAAGCCGATGATCCGAGGGTCCACACGGGACTAGTGAAAGAGTACGTATAGAAATGGGAAGTTATGCATGAGCATTCACTTACGGTCTAAAATACACATATGCACGGTAAATGCATATTGTATATATTCTGTAACCTAATAGTAACAAAGACAAAAAAGGATAAAGTTTTCGGCGTTGAGCAATCCTTGAGAGGATCGCCATGCGTTAGACTTCATTAAGCATCGTTTGGAGGTGATTGAATGCATATCTAGTCTTTACAATGACTCAATGGTGGCTTACCAATTTATGGAGCCAGCGCTGCTATCTTCCCAGACAAGTTTAGTACCAAATTGCCGACTCCGGAGGGATGGAAGGCCTTGTGGGCCATGGAGGCTCAGGGATCGATTCCACCGATGTGTTGCAAGCCGCCTCCGACCACTGCTCAACACGCGCCCTAACCAGAGGAATCACCTTCATTTTCTCATGGAGTCTTTTGTGATTAATCTCTTCGTTGTTTCCTTTTTTAGCAGTCGATGGTGACAGAATGAAACAGACGACATGATTGAAGCTCTGTCGTAATCATTCGAAATGAGTCAATTTCTGTTTAATTTTTAATAGACCTCCCAACTTGGCAGTGTTCAAACGTATCTTGTTAGAAACAGAGAAAGGAAAACAGAAAACCTGTTTACAACCTCATGTAAAAAATCACAAATTCTAAAGCACATGGCAGACCCAGGCTGCTAGTAGCCTGTGATACTTCCGATTGAACATGTCAGTAAAATCAATAGCGTAATCGCATCAAAGGACTTCAGAAATTATAAAGGGCCCTTTAGTTTATGGAATGGCTAAAGTCATAGTGAGAGCGGTTAAGGGTTAGAAGATTTCTTTGAAAGATTCCGTTTTCCTGCAAGCTAACCGTAGAAATGGACATTCCGTATACACGGTGGCGTGTGCTTCTGAATGAGGGAACTCTTATGAAACGAAGAAAAGAAGAGAGAAGGAATAAAAATGAATGTAAGGAAAAAAAAGCAAGAATGCACGACATTGACAAGCATAAGGGTTTCGCTTATAAAGAAAACATTACATTGGCTTTTTATAGTGTCTCTGAAATGCACTTTCCGGAGAGGCGAGGCACAATTTCTACTTGGCCGGTAATTAAATGGCTGGGTAAGATTTTCTGTCTTGGTGTCTTGAAAGCCGTTCAACCCGTGCCAGCTGGTGACTATGTTGCTGCCAGGATAGCAGTGACTATCAACCGTGGTTTATACCTAGCCCGGGATTATAGTGGATGGAAATGTCGAATTCCTCTCTGCTTGATAAACCGTTCAGAGGTGACCCAACTCCAATTGTTCATAGCCGTTCGGCATCGAACGGCACTTCCGCAAAAATGAAGCGTCAAACCTATGGTTTAAAGTGTTTAGAACACATAATAATAGAGAGTGACAGAAAAGTGATAGGCAATTCAATAACCATTAACAACAGCGAACAATTTTGAAACACAGGATGAACTACGTGCGGTTACTTCTTAGATTATTATGCTAATACGACGTTGATAAAGATGTTTATTCGGTCAACATTTCGATGCCTCCGTCTCCATCAGAGCCGATGGTCCGAGTCGATGGTCGTTCGTCTTCTCGATGTGGCGTCTTCGTTGTTGTACGGAATCGGATCTTATTCAATAGAACACCGCTTAAATGACGCATTCTCACCAGGCAGCGCTTTTTATACAGGACGGTTCTTCTTGATAACGACTTTTTCCTTACACATGAGCCGCCATCACATCGACTGTGCGGATTCCAACACATTTTGCACTCGATTCATTTTCTTCGCATTCACAATTAACAATAGTTTTCGAACATTTCACTTATCATTTGGACTGCTGCCTGAGGATCTCGCATTTTTTAATGAATATCAGAGAATACTGGTCGAGTCGATTCTTGTTGCAACCTTGGAAATAGCCGAACTAAGTCGTTCCCACGTGGGTTGGAGGAGAGCGTTAGGGAGCAACTCGAACTAGTGTCTTCGCTTCCTGATCGACGGCTTCACTAAACACTGCTCTATACCTTCCACACGAGTAACGACTATCCGTAATAATATCACGTTTGTTTAAAAAATGTCGTTTTGTTCCCAGCTATTTGCCAGCTAGCATAATATCGTCCGCTGCAGGGTGGATTGTTCGTTGAAAAAGAAACTATTATCAACGTATAGTCATATCAAAAACAATCATCCTGTATAATAGAGTGCCACTGGGTGAGGTTTCCTCATTCAAGCGGTGCTCCATCGAGGAAAATTTGTCTCGCAACGACAACGAAAACGCCACATTGAGAGCACGAAAGACTGTGAACCATCGGCTCGTATAATGGGCTCTGATGAAGCCGAAGACGTTGAAATGTCAGCCGAGTACACATAATTGTAAACCTCGTGTTACCTTAACAACCCAATAAGGTACTGATTATTACTAGCGAGGTTAAATAACGATTGGTTTGAAAAACAATAACAATAATAACGTTACTATTATCATTCTGAGATTTTTCTTCATGTGAAGAAACTCAAGCTAGAGAGTCCGAAGGTCACGTAGAGAAAATTCAGATGACTTCAATGATGCTGAGATATTTGCGAAACTCCGGACCACAGGTGTATGCGGTGGGGAACGAACACGCGCTGTTGGCTTTACCGGGGAGCAGCGCACTTCACCACCACACCATCTGGGTCCTTCGTTTTGCCTGTCTCTCAGCAGCTAGTTCTATCGATCTTTTGCCATCAGCAATCACCCGTCAACGGGATTGATCTGGGGGCCCAAAACCCAAAAAATAAAAAGAATAGGTAGTAAATAATACGTTAAATTGTGATTATAACCGCGGCCTCAGCTTAACTGGGTTCGTTGCCGATTTGGGCCCCCCAGATCAATCCCGTTGACGGGTGATTGCTGATGGCAAAAGATCGATAGAACTAGCTGAGAAACAGGGAAAACGAAAGACCTAGTTGGTGTGGTGGTGAAGTGCGCTGCTCCCCGGTAAGGACAACAGCGCGTGTTCGTTCCCCACCGCATACACCTGTGGTCCGGAGTTTCGCAAATATCTCAGCATCATTGAAGTTATATTTCACAATGTATACCCTGCCGTTAAAAAGAATAGGCAGTAAATAATACGTCGAAATTCAGATGGTTGATAAAGTGTTGAACACAGATCGGAAGAGAACGATTCATTAAGACGCGGGTGAACCGCAAAATGGATTAAGGCGATGGCGTTCCAGTTTTTTCTGTGCCAAACCAACTTTTTACCTTCAACATAAAAAACGATGAAGCACTCAGCGTTGATCAATCTCTGAAGGACGTACCATGCATTCGACTTAATTAAGCAACGTTGGAGGTAGTTAAATCCGTATCTGGTCTATGCAATGACTCTCTGAGGCTTACCAATGTATTGAGTTATTACTTTTATCCTCTCAGACAAGTCTGGCACCAATTTGCCGACACCGTAGGGATGGAACGCATGGTGAGCTTGCGTTGGCTTGTGAATGAGGAAAAATACTCGCCGATTATGCACTTATGGTGGTGCTAGCATTTAATGAAGTAGTATATGTTGTGCAAGGACTACTACGATGTTTACCTTTTAGTTTTGATATTCTCTCATTTCATACAATACCAAGACAGACAAGACAGAAGTCATTATACTCTTGAAAATTAGAAAACAACGATGTGCCTATCAAAAATGATGCTGCACACCGCATGCTTTGCCAGTTCTTCGAGCTCTCTAGGTCACTTTTTTCAACAGCAATAGTTTCTCGCTTTAAAATCAGAAATTAGTGAATTATTAAGGAGACATCCTCCCATGGACGGCATCCGCCATGGAACCTTTCATACAAATTTTAGAAAAAGACTTCTGTCTACCAAAATAAAATACCTGAAGGAAAATGACACCTACAGATGCCCTATCAGCGGCTACCCCAAAGCCGCTATGACACCTGTAGGTGCCACTGCTCACGAGAGTGTTAACGCACACCGCGCATCTTCACGGTTAAAAGTCGATGTACTCTTACGATCAAAAGTTTCGTTTATCATAGAGACTTTTCTTTGAACAAATTCGACTGATCGTCAGTGACAGAAGTAGGAAAATTTGAACGACTACCGTCCTATGCTGTTTAATTATTCGTACTACCGTAGAGCAGAAATTCGGAAGGAATTCCGATCCTCAATTTTCATTGAGACTTATTTTCGCAAATACTTTACGATTTTGATTATTTGACATGACAAGTTTCGAAATAGCTTCCTGGCAATAGTCGATGAGGCGGAAATTACACCTTCCGGTTCTATT